GGCAGCGCCGCTGGGTTTTGGCACCTTTTTTCGGCCAATTGGCATGTAGTTTGTCTCCAATTTGGCCACAGGTGGGTTTAGAATCGAAATCCGAGCCAAAAAGAAAATTTTTACCTCGTTTGACAATCGGAAAGTGCTCCGGTGCGGCGGCGGGTGGTGGCGGTCAGTTCCCCCGGTGGCTGAGTGGTCTTCTCCGGCGAGGGCTCTGGCGGCTAGGGTTTGGGTTTGGGTGTGGATGAGATTATTTATAACCTACTGCTTTTAATCTGAGCCGTCCATTGCGATTTAATCTGAACCGTCCATCACGATGCGATCTGGACCATCAGTGCGTGATTCAATCTGGGCCGTCCACACGCGTTTTTGATCTGGGCCGTCCGTACGCGCGGGAACGGATCTCAACCGTCTGATCGCGCGCACGCAGATCGCCCACGTGGCTCCCTTCCGCGTGGCCTCCCGCGTCAGCGTCTCTGCCACGCGGCATGTCCTGGTTGGTCGGGACTGCTGACGTGGCATAATTTTTCTAAATTACGTTTTGACTCCCTATTTTCGATTTTCTTTTCAAAAACATCATCAAAATCCGAATTTTCACCATTTTTTCTCAAAATTATTTTCAATTAAGTTCCAAAAATAATTTTATCCATTTTTATCATTATTATTATTTTTATTTCTATTTAATTAAATTAAACTAAATTTAAACCATATATTATTATATAAATAATCATTTAATTCATATAAAATTTATAAAAAATTAAAATAAAACAAAATAATATTCATAAAAATAATAATAAATTTGGGGTGTTACATTACATCTCTCCTAGTTTGATCCTCAATTCAAGTCTAAATATATGAATACCCCTAACTAGGGTGATGGTAATTAAGGACCCTATTAAAAATTTAAGTCACTATAAAAACATGATGGAGTTTCATAAGGTGGCCAACACCATGGTATGTTATGGGTTCTCCTTGAGCCTTAAAAAATGGGTAAGTGAATCATTTTAAGCTTGATAATATATATGTAATATATATGTACATATATATAAAAGAAATTTAGTTATTAATTCCTTGATAAGACCCATAATAAATAAACATGAATGAAGTGATAACTTCACAATTTATACGGTGAGAAACTTCCATAAGATGTAAAAAAAATATAAGGAGTCTGCCCTTAAAGACAAAGGAGATGTCTATAATGTAGGAAGATGAATGACTTATATTTTCAATTACCATATAGAGATGGATGTTGTTTTTTTTTATTACAACATTATCCTAGAACTGGTAAACCAAGTTGAAGTTGAAGTTTAATTGGAATCCATATGCAGTCTTTCTAATGTAAGAAGAACAATCTTTGGTTTTGAGAAAAATGTTTTTTTTAGTTCATCAAGAAAAAGTTTGTTTTATACAAAAAAGATAAAGATTCTAATTATATATTTAAGGTAAACTAATACTTTAATTGATTGTTGGGTAAAAAAGCATGACTGATAAGATAAAAATGATATTTTAATAATCAAATTGTGACTATTACAGTGAAAAATTATTAAATTGCAATTTTAGGTTACTTCTGTTTAACTAAAATTACTATATAAAGATAAAGGTTGCTCTTACTTATGTTCCATTATTGCCTCTAAATTAATCAAACAACTAAAAATTGAAGTTCTACTAGAATCTATTTATTATCTTTTCAAATAAGTAAAAAGTATAAAACTTGACTTTGGAAAAAAATATTTTTTTTTTTATTTTTTTTTTTCTGTTTCATCACTAGATAAGCTTATTTTATATCAATTAAAGGACGAGATTATAAGTTTAATTGTAAAAATAAGGTATATCAATATTTTAGTTTTATTAAGAAATATTTAAGTTTCACTATCAAGATAGAAATGATTTTTTGATCTTGAATTTCAACAATAGGATACTCCTATTGCAAATACATTACACGAGAATGAATTAGTCCTCCCTCAATCAAGTATTAGTTGCTAGGAACACAAGTAGGGTGGGGAATACCTTTCCCATGTTCTCATCATTTGTCTTTATCAAGAACTTATTTCTAGTCCCCATTTATGTTCTAAAAAAGGATTTGTATTTTTTAAACTAATTTTTTGATTTAAATCAAATTTAATTATTTTTTAATTAATTAGATAATCAAAGACAGGGTAACATAAGAATTTTTTTTTAATTCTCTTCATTGATTTAAAATTTCTCATATTTTTATTTAATTCGAGATAAACTAGTTGCTGACCATATTTTACTTAAAAATTTTATTCAATCCCTTGGAATCAAATGATTAGTAGACCAATTTAGATAAAGGGAGAATTTGGTCTCAATTCTTACTAATTTCTAGTATGTAATAGATATATTACTAGTTTCAATTTATTGAATATAGTTCGTATCTATATAATTACTTAATTAGAAAAATTAACAGTTAACAATTAACAATTAATTAATGAGAACCCCAATGCCTCTAAAATCACAATTAAAAAATTTGCACAGATTAAATAAATAATTTTTTTTATTAAGAATTGAAAAAAAATAAATAAATAAAGAGATTGACTTTGGAAAACGAAAGTCAGAGGGGGGCGGTTTGTGGGTCCTGGGCGGGCTGGATAGGGGGAGGCGATGTACAAACACAACTCTTACTCTTCTTTGAGCTTACACGTGAAAGTGACTTAAAAGTTCTTTGCCGCATTCGAATGTGGGCCCCAGACACCCAAATAATTATACAGAAATAAAATTCAAAATAATTTAATTTTAAAAATCTGTCCCGAGACACCGACCTGTAACAACTACTTTCTATTTGTTTTGTTTAATAATGTTCACTGCCCAAAATCAACGTTGGGTCCTTCCTGTTATTATTATTTCTCTTCACCTTTTCCTTTTAAATATATATATATATTTTTTTAAATTCTCTATTATTTGGTGATGTCATCCTTACGCACACATGACGTCTCCTCCCTCGCGCAAATTACAATAACAAATTTTTAGTAAAAATATATATGTACGTTAATCAATTTTTTTTTTTTTTTTTGTAATTAACTTATCTCTAGACGATGCACTTAGTGGCTTGTACGTTAAATTAATAAATTAAATACGAGCATGAAGTAAAGAATAGGGGAATTTACATAAAAAGAGTGCAAGAAATATTAGGGGGGCCTAGTTGACCTTTCCGTTGGGTAGTTGAGAATTGAAACGTTTTTAAAGAGGTATGCGAATTTTAAATACTAATAATAATTTGTATACAATAAGGTATATATATGTATGATATACCTCCTAATTAATCATTTAAATTTCAAGTAATCATCACTGCAGCTTTTACATTCTCTCCAACAAGAGTGTGCCTGATCCAGCTTCTTTAAATCATTGCACACAAAACGTGAATCTTGCCAATCTATTAATTATTATTATTATTTTAAATATTTACAATAATTGATTTTTAATTCAAATCAAATATTTTTATTATGTTCAGTAAAACATTCATTTTGATTAACTTATGAAATTATATTTTCTCCGTGCACCCCAGCTAGCTTATAGATCACAAAATTGTTAAACTATACAATATTTTAATATCTTTTTGTTTTTGATAAAAAAAAAAAAAACTAATTTCTACTTGGGGAAAAAAAAAAAAAAATCCAATCAATGTCTTAGTTAATTGACTTCTAAATTCTACCATACTGGATTTTCTTATTGACTAGCGAGTGTCCGGTGCAGTTGATTTTTATTTTGACGACTACATTTTGTGATTTGATGGCAGAGTTATGATAATTTTAATTAACTAAAATAATCTTAGAAAATAAAAATATATTATAATATTTGAAGTTTGTTGACTTTTGTTGACCCAAACAGGGAGAGAAAAAGAAGTTTCACCGAAAGTGATCCGACTTCTCACCTACCTCCCACGCGTACACGTGCTCCATACTTTTGTAAAATGAAAAATATTAAAATTTAATTTAGGTATAAGAGCTTAAGACAAATTAACTCATGTGCTCACTTTCTCCACACACATATATATATATATATATATATAAATACAAAATAAGCCTTAAGCATAATGAAACTGTTTGGATTTACTTCTTTAGTAAAAGGAGCTTAAAGTTAATCTTAATTAAAAAAAAAATTAAAATATCTACATGCATTTTTTGTTTTTAGTCATCACTTATTTTCTTTAAATTAATACGAAATTTATCTTTAAACAATTTTAAATACTTATTTTTTCATATTAATTTGATAGGTTCCAACTTTTGTCCTCACAAGTTTATTTCAAAGTTAGTTTTATTATTATGGTTATTTTTAGTCTAAGTATTTTCTATTACCATTATGCTAAGAAAAAGAGAGAGGTCAAACTTTATATTCTTTCTAACTCCTTTAAAATTCCAAACCCAAACCCATTTTCACCAAAATTTAATAAAAGTAAAAATTAAAAACCCAACCCTTCTTGATCCTATTCGGCCCAGAAATCAACACTCATTTTAACCCATTCAAATTCAAACGCCATCATCTTCTGAATTCCAAACGCACCGTTTTACGGAAAATAGAATTAAGATGATAATTATAAAAAAAAAAAAAATGATCAATAAATTTTATTTATTAACAAAATGATAAATCATATAATTTAAGGATAAAATAAAAAATTTATTTATTTATTTTTAAATTGAATGAATGAAAACAAATCTTTAAGGAAAAGTAACAAAAACTTATCATTTGTTTGTCTGTTAACCAGCTTTTGATTATTTAATTAAAATTCATATAGTTTTATTTTTATATCAGTCTTTAACTTTAGGTTATTGTCAAAGTCAATGTAGTGGTGATTTAAATAAAATAAATAACATTTTAATTGTACATCTTAAAAAATAAATATTACAATTAAAATTAAAAATTAAATGAAAATTATATCTATGTATAGCCATTAAAGAGATTAATCCCCATGGGCTCTGGAATGTATGTTACATGCCCCCAAATATTATACGGTCAATCCAACCAAGTCCATATTTCACAACTGGGCCTCTGTAATTCAACTGGAAGCTGGAAACTCCGTGGCTGCTCTGATCTTTGAGGACAAGAACCCTACTTTCTCCCCCCTAAAAACTTGATTATACTAGCCAGTAGCAATATCAACCAAACAAAGCAAAAGAAGGAAAGGAAGGAATGACAATCTTCTTCCATGCAAGGACTTACTTATCACGAAGCATTTCAACTGTTTCGTCTCGCCACCTGCATATTTGCATCGTCGGAAGTGGGCCCGCTGGCTTCTACACTGCTGAGAAGGTTAATTACGTGCTTAAGCTTATTGAGGATCGAACATCTTTAATTGCTGATGCATCAAGTGATTTATCGTTTTTTCTTTCGAATATTTTAATTAACTACTGCAACAGATGTTAAAGGCGCACCAAGAAGCGCAAGTTGACATAATCGATCGATTGCCAACGCCGTTTGGATTGGTGCGCTCCGGCGTCGCACCTGATCATCCTGAAACTAAGGTATGAATTTTGCTGGTACGCGCTGAATGTAGTTCATTACTTCTTCTATTGTTGGTGCTAAAAGATTAAAAAAAAATGTTCTTAATTGGGTTTAATTTTACCAGAAAACTTGCAACAGATTGTGATTAATCAGTTCACTCGAGTCGCGCAACAAGAGCGGGTCGCTTTCTTTGGGAATGTAGCTTTTGGTTCTGATGTGTCACTTGCTCAGCTCCGTAATCTGTACGATGTGGTAATATGCAGCACCTGTTCGGTTTTTGGGTTATTAACATTTTACTTGTGTTGTATGGATGAGGGAGTAACATCATTTTGATCCATGTTTAATACAATGGAGTAGGTTGTGCTTGCTTATGGGGCTGAGAGCGATAGGCATCTTGATATTCCAGGAGAAGTATGTTTTATAAGTATAAAAAATCTTTCTTGAAGTCTCTTGGTAATTGGATAATAATGTTGAGAATGAGTTCATAAGTTATTTCCATATGTTTTTTGAAAATTGCCAACTAGAATTTGATTGGGATACACTCGGCTAGAGAATTTGTTTGGTGGTACAATGGGCATCCTGACTACAGAAACCTGAATCCAGATTTGAAGAGCTCTGATACAGCCATTGTTCTTGGCCAGGTACTTTTTGTACCGTATTTTTTCTTATGACAGGAGATTGGTTATAGGATTATTGTTCTCAATTTTTATTCTTAAAAGAAAAAGGAAAGGCGCTTGAATTGTGGGCTATAACAAGTTTGGCCATTCTCACATCATTTTCATTATGAATTGAAGTTGCATAGCTTAGATTAGTCATGCAATGCCATAGTCAGGCATAGGACAAGGGCAAACTTGATAAGACTGATTAAGATGGAATAGTTTCTGTTTTGAGATTTTTTCTGAATATAACAAATAGACTAGTCTTCTTTAACTGTATTAAAAAATATTTGGAATTTCCAACAACCGTCAACTCTTCGACCATAAAGCTATGTATTGTAAAGGTATTTGCAAGATGGCAGACTTGTCGAGCTTTGACTTTGGAATCTTCTGACACTGGATAATTATTAACCTGTGTAAATTCCTTTGTCCTAATATTACTGCATAACTAGACATGTCCATATTCTCAGCTTGAGCAATTTTGTGCAAATATCCCCATACACATGCATTTTTGGTGAGGGTTTGTTAATTATGTAGTAGTTGTCCATAAGATCACAATATTATTCTCTATCCTTCACTTATATTGAATGTTCTAATATTGGTACAATAACTTAAAATGGTAGTGGTTGTATGTACTTGTCAGGGAAATGTAGGTCTTGATGTTGCTCGTATCCTTTTACGATCAACATCAGAATTGGCCTCCACTGATATTGCCAGTCATGCTTTAACTGCTCTAGAAGAAAGTTCTATCAGGTAATATACAGTAAACAGATAAATCTGTTGCTAGTATCAGGTTTCTGAGCTTTTCTGATACAAATGCAATTACAGGAAAGTTTACCTGGTTGGAAGACGGGGGCCAGTTCAAGCGGCTTGTACTGCTAAAGAGCTCCGTGAAGTTCTTGGTATTTCCTTGATTGTGTACACTGATAATTGATTGTTTCCCCCATTTTTCTGTGCTTTTATGTAGTAATCACATTTGACCTTTATCATATGGTACTACCACTCCTTAAAATTTAACCTTAATTGCATGAAGGATATTTTCAGTTCACTTGATTAACTGATGACCTTATCTTTTCTTAGTCTACTTTCTTTTGGTCTTGTTATTGTTGCCCTTTACCCTGAGTATTATGGAAGAATTTCTGTTATTTGAAATAAGGACAAACCTACTATGCTCAGTGTTTGATTGTATGCATGGTTGTATACTACCAAATCCCTTTATTTCATTTAAAATGTTGTGATTGAACATGTGGTTAGTTGTTTAATTTTTCGATTAATTTTATATTTGGGTGTTATTCTTTTATAAAGGTTTTGGCCTTATGTATGTAATTTCCATCAGTTCAATAGATGTCCTTCCAGATCTTCCCATGATTATGGAATTAATAGTGATACTTGATCTTGTTTCAGGGATGAAAGATTTGTATATTCAAATAAATGGAGCTGATTTACTAAAAACCCGAGAGGACGAGGTATATGTCGATTCTCAATCTTCAACAAGTCAGATAATTTATATTCTTTTTCTTTTATATTTTTTAATCTCTCCAGTAGCAACGTTTCTGGATTTTTTACTGACTTTCCTGATTGTCTAAATGAATATTGTTATTGAAACTTTTACAAGCCTTTTCTTTTCCTTTTCACTTTTTTACTCTAGTCTTTTATGTTGATGTTTTTTGTATGTAATTGTTGTTTTTGGGTGAAGGAAGAGATGATGAACAATCGAATTCGGAGAAGGGTTTACGAATTAATTCAAAAGGCAGCCACCTCAGGACCTTCCCAACCCAGCCCAGGTCAGCGAGAACTTCACTTCGTCTTCTTCCATAAACCTGACAGGTTTCTACAATCAGAAGACGGGAGGGGTCGTGTTTCAGCTGTGCGATTTGAGAAGACAGCTCTTAGAGGTAAGCTCTCTGTAAATATTTGTTATGCACTAATCATCTTTTTTGGCTTTTGTATAATTTGGTATTGGCTGTGGATATCTCATAGCCTTCCCATGTTGAATTCTGTGGAATCCTCAATGTAACAACCAAAATGGTGATGGTAAATTGGCAAAAGTTTTTCTAATTCCCCTGAATTACTTATTTGTGGGCTAGTTCAGCTGGATTGAAATGAGAGATCCATTTTGAACTGTCTAATTCAATACCAAAGGCGCTCATTTTGCCTTTTGTAACTTCAATTTGTAGGTGTTGGCTCTGGGAAACAAGTTGCAGTTGGTACAGAAGAATATGAGGATCTTAGCTGCGGGTAATTTTTTTCTTTGTATTTCAGGACTAAGACTGTTCCAAGTTTTCTATCAGAATGAAAAATCCTTATTACTGACTTTGAAAAGGGCCTGGTTGTAAATAGGTTTAATCTCCTGTACGCATTTTCTTATACAATCTGTAATAATAACCGATAGTGAAGTAGAGGCTTCAAGAATATTTATTTCTTCTCCTTTTTTTTTTCTTTTAAGAATTTATCTCTTCTCCTTATCTTACGTTCAGAAGTTTGGGACGTAGACTGAGTCACTGATTACTGACTTGCAATGCGTTCTTCATGTTTGCAGGATAGTGTTAAAAAGTATTGGTTACAGGTCAGTCCCAGTTGATGGTTTACCCTTTGATCACCATCAAGGTAGAATGAATAAGTAGATCTGGCTCTTCATTAAGATCTCACTGTGTTTCAATTTTAATGCTTGCAGTCATTCTATCTTCAGGAAAAGAGATATGTGCATATTTTTAATTTTAGTTCATCTAACTACTAAAAGCTTCTTCCAAAAATTATTTGGTCAATTATTCAGTTTGTTTAAAAGAAAAGAACAGTGACCAGGCCAGGTAATGGCAACGTGGCTGCTTTTTTCATTGCCATCCTGGCTAAAGGAAATTAACGTTTGGGGAGGGTTGAAGCAATGTAAGGATGGGTATATCTGATTAAAATTATTTTTTTATAATTATGAAGGTATTAAAGTTTTATTTGTCTATGTTATTATAAATATAATAAATACCATTTTTTATTAAATTTTAAACATTTCTTGAGAATTTACTAGAGAAAATTAAAACAAAGAGTATGTATTATGAGTTTATGTATGCTTTTGCATATATGTAGAAGTTTTCATATGCATATAACTCAAAAGAAATACTAAAATATATCTAAATGTATTTTATATTTAGAGTATTAGCAGGCATGAGTGGGAACCATAAATACTTTCTTGCTTCATTTTCCTTGTTGCGACAGGGATTTCTTGGCAGGCATGAGTGGGAATCAGCATTAAAGTAGTGAATTGAGATTAGACCCTATATATAAATAGTCAGTTTCTCATTAATGAAAACAAGTTGTTCATTTCTCAAATCCCCAATATTTGTCCTCTCTTGGTGTATCACTAAAGAGAATACTTTGTTCAAATTCGGCAGAATATGAGATTTGACCTCACTAAATTTTTCATTCAACCCTTTTAAAAACCTTATAATTTTGTCTTTTTCTTGGTACTTTATGGAAATTGAATTAGCATCGCAAGCACACTTAACAGCACATTTGCATATTGGTGTTGGACAAAGATTATACAGTTCATCCCTAGTACCTTTATGTGTGTAAAATATTGTGTTACAGTGTAGTTTCCTTGTTTCTGATTATTTAACTCTTCCTGCAAATCCGAAACCCTTACTAAATCCCCTTGAACAAAGCGATCATGCAGGTCCTTCCACAGGTTCTTAACATGATCAATCGAAATAACATATTCCTTGCTCATTATCAGACAATCACTTATTCACAAACTTCGTGTGGGGCTAATAGTTTTCATTTCCCGTCTCATGGAAAACCCTTTTCGCTCCGCTTAGCCCTATCCCCCTTTAGGGGTATTTTAGTGATAGGTTCTATAGGAACCGGACGATCCTATTTGGTCAAATACCTAGCGACAAACTCCTATGTTCCTTTCATTACAGTATTTCTGAACAAGTTCTTGGATAACAAGCCTAAAGGTTTTTTTATTAATGATATCGATATCTGTGCAATCCAAGGTGACAGAGTTCTCGTTATCTAAGTCAATATTAGCATCTCTTCCGAGATTTGGATATCGGATCGTCCTTATTCGGAACTTAAATAGTGCCATCTACAAACTTCAATTTATTTTTGGTAATAAGGACCATCTTCATCGCCCGAAATCATGAATAGAAATTGTTACCTGCGAGTATTATAATTGTGAGTTGAAGGGACGGGCTTTCGCTCGGGTAGACATAGAACGGACTAGCAAGAAGCTCCTCCATTACTGTTGATTCGGTTGTGGTATTCATTCTGAAATACTTCGTGTAAGTGACTCAAACCATAATCTCCTTTCTTCTCCTTGATGCTTAATGGACCTCGGATTTAGGGCTCTTTTCTGTTTATCGATTTAGAGAAAAATGGTGAGGAAAAATGGAATCAAAATGCATGATATTGCCCTGATACCATGTTAAAGCTTGAAATCATCCAGAAATTGAAGAGAATTTTGCAAATTTTCCTTATAAATCAGAAGAAATTTTACAGACAGGGAATGCAAGAGAGAGGACAAATATCGGGGATTTGAGAAATGAAGAACTTATTTTCATTAATGAGAAATTGGATATTTATATACAGGGTCTAATCTCGATTAATTACTTAATGCTGATTAACTAAAAATTAATGTAAATAAACTCAACCAACTAATTACAACCACTTTACCTGCTGATTATGCATGTCTGACCCAAGGTTTGACTTCCTATTAGGTTTTGGGTAGGACAAATAAAACCTGCTGGTCAGGGATGAAATTAAAATTTTTATTTTATTGCTGTCTTATTTACCTACTTGCTGAATGCACATCAACATTTGGAGAAAACTAATTATGTGCTTCTCACGGAATCCTGTCTTCTGAAACAAGGATTTTTAGTAGTTGCATTCTAATAAATTCAACATGTATAGAACATATTGGCCATGTTATTTTATTAATTTTTCATTAACATTTGGGAGTTTCAAAATCTTAAACATCTCTTTGACATGATGGAGTATGAAGTAGTTTTTGGAGCCAGGGAAAAAAACCTGTTTAATCTTGAATACACTGCATTTCATGACCCAATTTTTATTACATGTCAGCCCTGGAATAAGGAGAAGGGAGAGAGAATGGCTCTGCTTACTGGCCTTATTACATATTTGCAGGTGTGGTCCCTAACAAAAGGGGTCGAGTTCTTACTGATACTTCAGGTTGTCTGGTCGAAACAGGGTTGTATGTATGTGGGTGGTTGAAGAGAGGTCCAACTGGGATTATTGCTACAAATCTTTACTGCGCTGATGAAACTGTAAGTTGTCTCTTGCATCCTTCCAGTAGAAGGTGGTTTCAAGATATTTAACATCAGTGCCATTGTGGGACATCTAAATCATCTTGCCATAACAAATACTAAGATTAGAAAACAGATGTTATAGCAAATCCTAATCTGAACGTTAACATGTTAGGTTGGTAGCATATCAGAGGACCTTGAAAAAGGAGTAATAGCAGCTTCTTCTAGTTTGCTAAACCCTGGCAGGAAGGGACTCCTCCAGTTACTGGATAACAAGAATGTTGAAGTTGTCCCGTTCTCTGGCTGGGAAAGGATTGACTCCAAAGAGAAGATGCTTGGCAGTTTGCGAAACAAACCCAGAGAAAAATTAGTTTCATGGGAGGAGCTGCTCGAAGCCGCCAAAGAATGAATTTCCTTCTTTGAATCTCATTTATGCAGAAGCAAAAAATAAGTGATTCCACTTTTGCTAGATTAACAAAAAAGATAAGGAAGAAAAAGTTGATCACTTCAACTCTGACCTTGGCCCTTGATTGGTCAGAATAGGAAATTAAGTTTCTGCTCTCTATTACTGTTATTTGCTGTCCTGACGAGTAGTTTGTAGAATATTCAATAAAAGTTAAATTATTAAATTGGGGTTATGTTGAAATAGCTGATTTATTTTTTGTAAGTGATTGCAGAAACATTTGAACATTTTATAGTAATTTGGTAATTATGTAGTAATTCATTGTATAATTTAGTAAATGACAATTACATCACATTATTAATTTATTATGAAATTTTAATAGCTTTTGCGACTGTGATGCCCTCAGGCACCATAGAATTTTTGTTTCCACTGATTATTGTGTTGTTCATAGCCTATAGTTAGCTTTCTTGTTGAAAGAAAATGAGTAACCCAGCATTTCTACATCCAAGGTATCTACCTAAAATGCGAATTATAAATAGGGTATTTAACCAAAAAAAAAGGAATTATACATGGGCTTTATACTTTTTCGTGAATATATATATATATACATATATACATATTTGAATGTAGGGTTGTCGTGAGCGGAGGCTTAGGGGGGGGGCAGTGTAAACATTTACAGATTTGGGCAGTCTGGCGTACGGCTTCTTCTCCCACCAGTGCAGTCATGTCCTTTTTAGAGGAATCATCCATGCATGCATAAAATTCCGTGTTAAAGTTTACTAATACCGGACGTCTCCTTAGGGTATGAACCTCAGGTCCTTAAACCCCGTCAAGTTGTACGTCAAAAGAATCATCTGCAAAAAAATATATATACACACGAGGACGTCACAAGAAAATGGATGGAATATAAGGAA